CTCTGACAAGGCAAAATCCATTAAGTGGAACAAAGAAATATTCATGTTCAGTAACACTGAACGTGGTCCAAGGCAGCTCATCCAGCACGAGTTTTCTATTAAATTTAAAAGATTGTTTTCTAAATACTTACCCATGTGAGAATAGGATCATATTAGTCAATAACTTACAGCGTTATTTTGCCTGAAAAGAACAGTTTCAGAAAGCTGTAATTTAAGTCTAAGGAACTTTAATAAAAGCTGTCAGAGAAAATAAGAGGACTTGTGGGAGAGCTGTTCCTCACCAGCAAGCAAAGTTCTGTGTACAGTTCCCTGGAATGCTACTGCAGCAACACATGACTTTTTCAATATATGCAGAAAAGGATTACCTGAGTGGCTTCAAAAAATAACATGAGGGTTTCTGAGAAATAACTCATTATGTCAGGTGAAAAATTAATACTTCACAGTGAAACACAGAATGGAAATAAATATGAAAATCATAGAAATGCTGAAAGAAGCAATTCTGCTACCTATCCTGATGGACAGAAACAGAGAGGAAATTAAATCACATAAGCAACTCCATGATGACAGTAAAAAAAGATCAGCTAAATAGCCAAGTTTCTCAAATAAAATTTTATATAGGGGCCACTCTGTACAGGATACTCATAGAAAAGCTCTTCCTGGTATAACAAAATAGGACTTGAAATCACATTTCAAATATCCTCAGAAACATCAGGTTCAAGGATGTTTTTAATTTTCCCAGCATAAAAGCTTAAATTAAATGCAGACAGCATTATCACCAACAAATTGTTCATGATCTACACAAAAAGGACAACACCAGCCTAAAGGTCAATTTTTGATCCCTTCTAAACGTGAATTGCTTTCAAGTGGTTTTCACAACTAATACTAGAGAGGTGAATTTTCAGATAAGAGATCTAAAACAGCATCTAAAAATGCAGCCTTCCCTTTAAATTAAAAAGCCATGGAGAGAAAAAAACTTCAGGAGCTGAGATGGGAAGGAGACTGGTGCTCACATGACCAAGAACTCTTTCAGTATTCTAAAAAATGGTGAATAATAGGTGACAGGTAAATGACCTCATGAAAAGATGCTTCAATAAACCCTTTCTGTTCTTTATAAAATACATGTTTACCTCTCCAGCCTGATAGAAAAAGCACACCTTCAGTCCAAAGCTGAATTTTATGAGTTCCCTCATGCATAAGCAATAGAAACAGGACATGCAGAGGCTATATTTTGTTTTATTATTTTTTTTTTTAAGAAGAGTGAATAAAAACCTTGCTCTCAATTGAACTGCATTTCTCTGTGATAGAGTGTGAACACTGCACCTGACTGATTCCTAAATGTAATGAAACACTCTAAGTGGCAACAGGCAGCATTCTATTGCTTCTGTTAAAATTCAGAAAAAGAAACACGTGCCAAGTTCCCGGCATCGATTCAGGACTGTCAGCAGTGCCAGTCACCTCTGTGCTCTCCACTGACTCAAAGAGCCAAATGACAGTGCACAGCAGCCCCCTCCAGCAGAATTACAGCCCCTCTCAGCTCTGCCCACCTCCTGGCTGCAAATGATGGCTCCCTTAATAACTTCTCCATCAGGCAGAGCACAAAGAGCAGAACACGAGACTCAAGGGTTTGTGCTGGAGGAGCCCAGAGCAAACCAGGCCCTGAAATGATGCACAGGGCACAGATTTTCCTTCCAGAAATGATGCACAGTGCAGGCAGTGGCAATGCACACACAGCCTATATAAGGATTATTTCCTTAGGTATCAGTGCTACAGTACAAGGAGAAGAAACAGCAAGTAAGGAAATGCCTTCTCTGGTAAACAAGCCCTAAATTAAGTGAGAATTAGATCAGAAGACTTGTGGGTTAACATAAAAACAGCCACATGAGCTTATTCTTCAGACAAAAACTTGGCTCCCAAGTATTTTTTCTTCTATTAAATAGTTGCACTGGAATTGTAAGAACTTGTTTACAAATTAAGTTTCTTCAAAAAGCAGATCAAGCAACACCATACTGTGCAGCAAAACAGGACAACATCTTTCCTTCCTCTCTTGAAAAACAAGGAATTTTAATACAAACCAGAAAACTATTGTGACTGAATTTCTTGGCACTCAGTAAATATTGCCTTCTCTACAAAAGTTACACTGGGAAATTGCTTAGCATATAGAAGGCAATGAATTCCTTGGGGCTTAATTCTGTATTGTGTACAACTTCTTTTGAAGTCAATATTAGTGATGTCATGTTAATTTTTCTTACATCTGCCATTCTTATCTTAGAAGGGGAAAAAAAATCCTTTAGTTCCATTAAAAATTCCTTGCAGAACTGTCTTTTGTACAGTTGGTAAGTTTTGAAAGTATCTGAGAAAAATTAACATTCAGCGTATATATTAATAAAAATAGAGAGAAACAGAGGAAATGAGCAGAGTGTAACAAAACTGCTGATACTGGATAAAGGCAAACCCTTTCAAGAAGACATGCATTAACACCTTCCTGACAAGTGAAGACAGCAGCAAAAAATCATCTCATCTCTTTCCATTGCATCAACAGGAAATCCAACAATAGCAAAGCTGCTGAGCACAGGCCCTGCAGCAGTAAAGACAGCTCTGTCAAGCACAAAACAGTTGGTGAAACTGTGAAATTAAATTGTGAATTCCAGACTTTATGTAGATTTCCATGACAGAAATTCCTATCCCCTTACCTGTACCCCTTTATCACACATACAGGCACATATGAGTGATGTAATGCTGTAAGATTAAAAAGGAAAATTTTGTTTTCTGTATTTCTTGTATTCCTGAGGGCTATAGAAAGAATTTCCTTTCACAAGAAAAATACTGAACCTTTGACTTTCAAGTTTTGAGAACTTTATGCTATCTTTAAAATATGCTGACAAGCATCTTTTCTTGTTTGAAGAAGTCAAAGTGAAGGATAGCTGCAACGTGGCACACAGCACCTGAAACATGAGATTTCTGAGCAGGACTTGGCAGGGGAGGTTGGCCTCTCCCCATATTTTGCTGCAGAATGCCAGTCTATCAACAACATCCCCAAACTGCCTTCTCTGGTTATTTTATTTCTCAATATTTCATGCCTCCTGTAGGCTATATTTTCCTGTTTTCCCATATCTTTTTACTTTGTGTGGTTGCATATTCAGTTGCAAATCGTGCAGATAACCCTGAGTGACAGAGCCAATATTAATCTGAGTGATCACAAAGAACATAAACCTGGCAAAATCTTGGAACAACAATGACCACAGCAGCAAAACTGATGTTCTTGATTCTTAGTTTTCAAAGTGCATGTTAGAAGTACAAGGACAGCACAGCACCAGAATGATAAGGAGGATGTTGTTAATTATTAAGTGGATCAATGGAGTGTCAGTCATTCCAACATGAAATAGATTCCACACCATAAACCACAATTCTTTCATGCTCAGTAGTGCACCATAGCTGAATGCAACTACATCAAATGAAGAAAGGCATCACTATCTTCCACTTTCTGAAGAGCTAGCAAGCCCACACAATTAGAATAAAATTTACCTGATAAAGTTGCATGAGCAAACGTTTTTTTAGTTCTAGATTGTACTTTTGGTTATTTAAACACTGTTTGTTTGTTTTTAACAGACAGATATTTCTGTGATTTGCAAAGCAAGCAAGCTACAGAGGTTATTTAAAATAAACCCAGCATCATAAAACAGAGAAGGTTCACTGCCTTTAATGGAGTAATTTATATCTCCAAATAGTCACAGAGATCAACAACAATAGAGAAGAACAGCAACAGTTATTGGACAGGCCAATCCATTTATGAGTTCAATCACGAAGAGGAGAGTTTAAGTGCTGTAGGACTGGTGATAAACCTGCCACAGCTTCAGTTAGCATTCCTTGATTTCCTCAGATATCCAGACATGAGGAAACACTCCAATTTCATGTGCTTTGCTTTATGTCCCACTTTGCCATTTTGTACTGCTAAATGCCCATAACACTTGCATTTCATTTTTTGTTTCGAATATATTTTCAAATATACTGATTGTCATAAGAAGGTTTTGATCACTGAAAAATGTATCACCTTAATGAAGTTCTAGAGATTGAACAAGCCATTATGCTAATGCTACTCAGCTACTTGAGCTCTGATGAGATCTTGGATATGAGTAAGTTGTGTTAATTTACCTTCCAGTGTGCAAAATTGAAATGCATTTAACTAAGTGGCCTGTGCATTATGTAAAGCACAAACCAAAAAACCTTCCTGTTACTACACAATTAGGCTGCAATAATGTCTGGCCTCTGGCATTTTGATATTTGATATATTAACAAAAGCTGAATGAAAAGAGGAAAACTGTGCAACTCTAAAAAATAGAAAAATTATTTCGGTTAGAACAGATTGACAAAGTACTTTAACACTTTATTTTGAGAGAGAAAAACTGTTACATAAATTCATTTCTGACCCACATTATGATCTTTTGTTCATCACGCCATAATGAGGATGTTGTCAGAGAAACAAAATAAAGCTCCACAAGCAGGGTCTTGTCTTCAAGCCACTGTCACGTCCTTTTGTGATGGTAACTCTACTCACCTTTTCTATTTCTTCATTTGGACACACATCTAAGTATCTTGTAAAATGGAGAGGCCACAACCTTTTCCTTCCTTTGCTTTTTAATAGAGCAAATTTTTGTTTGAAAACAGCTTGTTACACAAGTTCATTTATTTCAGATCCTTAAGTTATATCAAGTATACAAAAAAAATTCCTCCCACAACTATTCATGACATTCTGAATTATAACAATGTTAATTAAAGAATTCACTTTACATGCTGCATGCAAAATATTTGAGAAATAAAGTTCTAAGTACTGCCACTATAAACTTGTCCATATATAAAATTGAGCATATATTTATGGTCTGGATGAAATATCAAAGCTTTTCAGTAAGCATGAATTTAAAGACTGTTTAAACTTATTAGAAAACAATTTATTTTCCAGATTGCTACCCAGTGAAGCAGAGTTCTCCCATTATCAGTCAACTTACTCAGTCTCTGAGCAGCCTCCAGGGCACCATTTGCAGAATCAGCTACAAAGAATCTCTGAACTGTAACCCCATGGTCTGCCATTATTTTTTTGCTTTGGTACTCCTGCAGGTTGAGCCATCGTCTGGGGGTTAATTGAACAGCCTAGAAACAACAAGAGGGGAAAATAACATAATGCTCATTAAGAAGAGTTCATGAGACAGCCCACTGAGCTCCTCCACCTTATGGTTATCTCAAACCAGCAGTTAAACAACACCCAGAGAAAAGGTAAAATACTTATTGATTTACCTAAGTGCCTTTTCTCAACATTTGTGCATCCCAAGTGCTCTGAAACCTATAGGTATTTTTTAAAAGCTACACAAGGCTCACTTGGCCAGACAAAATGTCTTGCATTTAATATCAAGGCAAATTTGGCTTGAACTCCAAAGTCTATTTATGTTTCAATGTTTTCCTCTGCTATAAAAGTAGTAACAGACTCTTACATTAAAACAATTTCAGTTTCATGTTAAATATCCTTCTTATACAACATTTCACCTAATCCTTCCCTATAAAATGATTTCCACTGATTCTGTGCATTTGTTGAAGCATATCTGAGAAGAAAAACAAGTGACATGGTATTAGCATTATTCTGTAAGAAACTATACACTAATACATTTATTTTCAGTGGTCTGCTATCTCTGGTTTGTTCACTGTGCTTCTAAGCAGCAGGACACCAGCACAGCCACATCAGCCATGCCAGGCCAACAACAGCTGGTTATAATAATTATAATAATGAGAATAATTAGAGTAATTCCCTCCTTGTTCCCAACATGCCAGTTTAGATGCCCCTGTGGGAATATAAACACATCTACACCCCATGGGTACAAAGATCTTACACACACACAGACACTCTGTTTGATTGTCCTGGCAGGAATCCTTGAGACACTGCAGAAGTCAGAGGATCTTTACTGAATGGTTTTGAGAAAGAACATATTCTCCACACAGGATGAATTGATTCACACAAAAGCAATAATTAAGGAGCTGGAGCTGACTCCTGGCAATGCTATAATGGCAAAGGTGGAGCTGGCTCCTGGCAATGGTATAATTCCATTTTGTGCCAGCCAAAGATGCTTTTCCCACATGGAGAGACAAAGTGCTGTCCCCCTGGCAGCCAGCCACAATCAGTTCTTGGTTTCTCCTGAAGTAAGGAACACAGCATGCAAGCCAGTGCTATGTATTTAGAAATGTTGGACAAAGAGGATTATTTACTATACTTTCATCTCTAACAGCATGATAAAAAATTTATCAACCTAATGCAACTTTATACTGAAAACAAAACCTCTCTGTGCTAAAGTCTTTCAGTAACACACCCTCTCACAACACTAAGGTTTACAGGCTGAGTTGTCTCAAAAGCAAACTTCCATCTGTTCTATTCTCTTTGAAACACAGCACAAAAGATTGATGCATAAAGAAAATACAAACCCATCTTTTACAGTATATAACTGCATGTTTTCTGTAAAAGTGACTCCCACTGAACTTAAACAGTTACAAATAGCTCAGGATGACATTTTAAATCCTTTTATGCATAGCCTGATTAACATATTTTAGAGGAACAAAATGGCATTGTCAGTTTGCTCTATGGCTATCTCTAATTCTACACATCATACAGACACCTCACATGATTTATATTCCTCCATGCTATTCATGGATGATATGTTATTACAGTTATGCAATACTTCAAAGGTAGGGTCAAAATTTAAAGTCCCCTTCATAATTGTTGACATTTAATTTGTTTTCCTGTAATAAATTCTCTGCTAGGCTCTAACAATTATCACTTCAGGATCATTTCCACAAAGGAATTAACACTAGGGGCCAGGAGGGACCCTTTAAATTTATTAAAAAATTCTACAGCTCGGTAATACTGCTGGTCTGAATTATAAAACCAAAATTTTATCAAGTCTTCAGAACAGCTTTTATTAATAGCTTAGGAAAATAAACCAGTTTCCAATATAAGTATTACTAAGCTGATCTAAATCAAATAAATAAGAAGGAAAATGTTTAAAAAAAAATTATTTCTGGGAAAGATTTTTGTGGCTGTTGCTGGATGGGAACTGCAGTGACCTCTGCTCCCAAACACCCTCTCACCATCTCACAGGTGCTTTTGGGATCCAACAGCTTCAAAACTCAAAATATAACTCAAAATGTCCCACAGAGATGCTAAAAATCTTATTACATATGCATAAAGTGCAGATATACATAAGCATGGGGACACATCTTCTCTTATAAAAATTGGACAATTAATATTAAGATATTACGAAATATTTCTTTCCTAGATTATGAACCAGACTATAGAAAGGACACAGAAAGGAAATAAAAGAATAATTCCTTTGAAAAGGGTCAAAGCAGTCCTAAGGGTGATGAGACAAAGGTCAGCTCAACAACTGCAGGCACAGAAAAACAAAGCCTACAAACTCCAGCTTAGTGAGCACACCCCCTGCTACATTACATAATTCTAAGAGAGACCATCTTACTGAGTGCCAACTGAGGACTTTCAATCAATCTTTGCACAAAAGACAAGCTCCTGGTTGTGAATGAACTGCTTGATGAAATTAATAAGTATCTCAAGTCTGTACCAGAAGCTCTGAAGAGCAAGGAACATGAAAAACTTGCTTTGAAGCACTTGCAGGATACCCACCTATGTCGTGGGGACAGCAGGAAAGCTAAAGCAGTTACAAGAGATGAAATAAAGCACAAGCTTTGAATCTGTAAGGGTGACTGCTCTTTCAAGACTATCTTGAAAAATCAAAACAGCTGTGGACATGCATTTTAGGGTGAAGACAAAAAAAGGTGACCATGAAATCTCAGAAACATGAGATGCTGCTTTGAACTAATTTCCAGCCCAAGATGCTTTGGCTGCAATAAATCTGTATCTGAATTTATACAAGAATCTTGAATTCCTATTCTCCAAATACATTTATACCAAACATTCTCAAAAATCTCAGACGATTCAAATGGCCTAAATTGTTGGGCATCAAAAACTTTTATGCATTCTACAGATAAATCCACACGTGATACTGACAGTAAGATGCTAATGCACAAAGGATACTGACAGTAAGATGCTAATGCACAAAGGTACAGTCCCAAAACTCTTGAGAAAAACCTACAAAGGTTTGAGAGAAAGCTATTTCCCATAGACAGTCTTTCACAGGCAGCCTCAATCCAACCCTTCCCCCTGAAAGTTGTTACAAGGAGACTTTAATCCAGCACACAATACAACTCTGCCATCACATCTTTGTTTTACTCATTTCCCTGTTTTACAGCTGTTCCATTGCTTGCAGCAGCAGCAAACAGCACTCTTGGATTTGACAGTTCAGTTCCAGCTCTCAGCAAAGCCACACTAAAGAATTAGATGGTAAATCAGCATCAGAAAAATAATCTCAATGTGAAACAGGGAATGGGGAGAGCAGCTAAAAGAGAACCTACAGCACAGGAAAGCAGAGTCTAGCTTTAGTAATTTCTGTTAATTAGTGATTTTCATTATCTTCTACTCCAAATCTTATCCCTCCTCAAATGTTTCTATCTCCTCACACATGGGTCAGAAAACATATCAGAAAACACCAGAGATGTCTCAGACCTTTCCAAGAAGCTCTGTTCCAGCTGACACCCAGTGTTTTCCACAAGTTCAAGCTGTATCTGTGTTTCATCTCTTTATTGCAAGGTTGGGCTGCAGTACAAGGAGTAGATCCTGTCCCACCAGCCTGGGAAGAAGAGACTGGAAATTGTGTGTGGATTTAAGTAAACCGTTTCTCCCTGTGTGACATCTCATCTTTCATCTTCATAGGATGACAGACAAAAAACCAGAAAATTTTCCACTGGTGGCATTTCTCTGTTATCCTTTCATATGGGAACTTTGTGTTGTATATTGATGTACACACTGAAGATGCAGAGTGGATCTTATCTGAGATTCAGATCTGCCTGGTAAATCAAAAGGTGTTGTTTATTTTCAAACCACAAATAAGGTTTAAGGATAAATCAGTCTGTGAAACTAAGAAAACATTACTAGCAGCACACAGAAAATAAAATGTTGTTATTTAAAATAATAAAGCTTTAAAGAGGATTTAAATTCATCCTAATAAGATATTTCTTAAGATTAAATTTCTAATGAAAGTGCTTATCAAAGAGATTAGTACATTTAAATAGAGCTCTTTTACAACTGATAACATTTCCTGAGAGCCTGACAACATCAAAATCCCAAAACTCCAGTAAGTGGAACAAAAGGCCTCAACTGAACAGTAACATGAAGTGAGATGAAGGCAGAATTATTTATTCAAGTACAACTTTCAAACCAGATTTTCTCCTGCTGGCTAGAATTATTTGGCATTTTCCAAAAGCAAAAAATATTGCTTGGGTTTCACCTCTAATCTCCCTTCCCTTCTCAATCTCCAAGATTTTTGTTACCAGTCAGAATCACACTAATGTAGACCAAAAGTATACAGAGTGAGAAGGATTTAGAAAATTACTATTACTGAGAATTGTGTATTTTGTTCTGAAAAAGCTTTCTGTCCAAAGTTCCTTTTTTATATAAGCAGAGATCATATTTGGTCCCACACATGATTAAATGAGTGGCACACACATCAAGAAATCAAATATTTCTTTTTTGATCATCTTAACAAGGTCAGGTGTTGCAGAATTGTATCTGTGGTTTATTAACTACTGGTAGAAAAAAAAAATGATTCTTCACATAACCTGCATAACCTCTTATTTACCACCTTATTGTTTGGTGGGTTTTTTTATAAAATGCTAAAGGATCTGCACAAATAATGTATTTGATTTGCATTATTTTTCCACTATTCCATTTGCCAATTCTTTAGCTGTCACATGACAAAAAAAAATTGCATTATTTAAATAACAAGGGCTAAAAAGCTAGCAGCTTAGTTAAAGCAAAGTGGAACTAAAAGTACATCTTCTAGCAGAAATTTGCTTCAATGTAAGCAAAAAAACCAAATAAAAAACCCAAATGAAACAAAACACAAAACCAAAAAACCAAAAAAAAAGACCAAACTCCACCCCAAAAACCCCCAAACAGAGTTAGAAAACACTGCAACAGAGACATCGCTGTTATATATGCAGCATTAACTGCTGTGATGTAAAACATCTTTCAGATG